GTCACATCCAGGCCAGGTCAGGCTCTGTCCATCCATTTCACTGACCAGAGAGCAACATGTCTCAGATGCAGGTGCATGGGGACTTTGGTGGCAGAGGGTCCCATGCTACAGGGCTCCATCTGGGCCATTCTTGGGCTGCTCCGGGGCTGGGGTGAGGCCTCTCTTTTGCTGTCTGGGGCAGGAATGGACCTGCAGTGGGAGAAAGAGGGAGACAAGTTCCTTCCTCCCTGCTCCTTAGTAGCTGAGGATGACCCTGAACTCCTGATCCTCCTGAGTGCTGCGATGACAGGTCTGTGCCACCATGCCTGGCTTATGTGGTGTTGGGCATGAACCCAGGGCCTTGTGTATGTTAGGTGAGCTCTGCCCACTGAGCTACAAATACTCTACCCACTGAGCCCCAGCCCCAGCCCCTTTTGATTTGAACCCCACTTATACCACTCAAGAGGGCAAGGGTGATTAGAGGGTGGCTAGAAGGCACAGAGGAGAAGGAAGGTGCTGTGTTAGATGGAAGCTGTGTGTCCCCGTGGAAGTTCCTTGCCCACTCTGGGCCTCAGCTGCCTTATTATGAAAGGCAGAATACCCCAAGGGCTTGGAGGAAGGATGGTGATGCAGAGGAGGCAGGCAGGGTGAAGGAGGGACAGAGCTAATCGTCAGCACTTGTATGATATTCTCCACCTTCTGGAATCTGCTGTGAGGCGGTGTTCCAGGGTTGTCCTGCTGACCTAGGGTCAAGCTGTGACCCTCTCCCCCATCTGCAGCATCTGCTAGTGACGTCTCCCAGAGTGGGGCTTCCTGGGACAAGACCCGAGGCCTCTCTGCCAAGACCTGAAAGCCCAGGGCTGTGGCAACCATGGGTATGTGCAGCAAGCTGGGTCCCTGCACTGGTAGCCAAAGCCCCTGGCTGCCATCTCCAGGTCTGCGATGGTTCAGGCTGGGGAGATGGAAGGGAAGGATGAGGGCTGGGGTCAGTGGGCAGCCAGTTGGCATGGTGAGCGCCAGCCAGGTTTAAGAGTGGCCAGGAGAGTGGAGGATCCAGTGTCACCGGGTGCCTTAAATTCTCATCCCTTATCCCTGCCCATTTCTGCCTGTCATCTGAATCTCTGTCTGTCCTTCTCTGTCTGTCTTCCTCCTCTCTGACTCCTAGTATAACATTAAATTTTCAATGTCATATTAAGGGGAAACCATTAAAATTTTCCTTTTTAAAATATTAAAACAATCAGAGCTGGCTAAACTAGACTCCCCCACCCCACACTCCCTCCTTCTCTGGTCTCAAGGTGACCCCAATCTTTTTAGAAGCATCCACTATTTGGGCCGATCTCTGTGAGATCAAGGTCAGCCTGGTCTGCATAGTGAGTTCCAGGCCAGCTGGGGATACAGGGAGACCCTGTCTCAAACAATCAAACTTTAAACAAATACTACCCCCCAATTTAGAGAACATTATTGTCATAATGAGATTATACCATGCATATTGTAGTTGTATCTTCTCTGCAATTTGTGCCTAGGCTGTATTATCAAGTTTCTGTGATGTTAACACTGTGTAACAAACATCTTCAAACACAGTAGTCTGATGTTATTATTTCACATGAGTGTGTGGATTGATTGGAAAGTCCCCTCTGCTAGTCTTACCTAGGTTCACTTTGTTTACCATCCATTATCCTTCTGTCTGTGTTATCTGTGTGTCCGTGTGCCACAGCCTGTGTGTGGAGATTTGAGGAAAACTTGCAGGAGTTTGTTTCTCTCCTTCTATCATGTGGGCTCTGGGGATGGAACTCAGGTCATCAGGCTCGGTGACAACGTTACCCACTGAGCCTTCTTGCTGGTCCTGCTTTTACTTTGTTGAGACAGGGTCTTGTTCTGAGTCCAGCCTGTCCTGGAACTTGAAATTCTCCTGCCTCAGCCTTCCAAGTGCTGGGATGACTGGTGTGGCCACTGTGCCTGACCTGGATCACCTCGGGAGGCCTTAAGATGCCCGGCCCCATGGAGCTAAGATCAGAGCCTTTCCATAGGGGACAGATGTCAGTCTTCCTCAAGCAACTGAAAGGAAACTGGAGGAATTCCCTAATTGCAGTACATCTACATTGTTGCAAAAAGTAGCTTGGAAGCAGGCTAGAGATACTCCAGGGGAGTACAGGAGATACCCCCAGATGGGCAGCTACTTTATCCCCAGTCTCCCCCTACCCCAGCTGGCCTGGAACTTGCTATGTAGACCAGACTGGCATTGAACTCTCAGAGATCCACCTGCCTCTGCCTCCCGAGTGCTGGGATTAAAGACGTGCACCACCACACCCGGCCTTTACCCCAAGTCTTTTGTTTGTTTTAAATATATTTTATTTATTTTTTATGTTATGAGTGTATTGCCTGCATGCATGTGAGTGCACCCGTGTCATGCAATGCCGCGGAGGTCAGAAGAAGACTTCGGATTCCCCAGGAACTGGAGTTAAGGATGGTTCATAGCCGCCATGTGGGTGCTGGAATCGAATCCGGGTCCTCTGCAAGAGCAGTCAGTTCTCTCAACTGCTGAGCCAACTCTCCAGCTCCCCCTCTTTTTTAAAAAATATTTTATTTAGGCCAGGCGTGGTGGTGCACGCCTGTAGTCCCAGCACTTGGGAGGCAGAGGCAGGCGGATCTCTGTGAGTTCAAGGCCAGCCTGGTCTACATAGTGAGTTCCAGGACAGCTGGGGCTACAGGGAGACCCTGTCTCAAAAAAGAACAAAAAAAATTTTTTTTAATTATTATTTTTATGTGTACGAGTGTATTGCCTGCATGTATGTGAGTGCGCCTGTGTCATGCAATGCCATGGAGGTCAGAAGAGGGCTTTGGATTCCCCTGGAACTGGAGTTAAGGACGGTTCGTAGCCGCCATGTAAGTGATGGAAATTGAACCCCGGTCCTCTGCAAGAGCAGTCTGCTGAGCCAACTCTCCAGCCCTTTTTTTATTTTTAAATTTTTATTTCATGTGTTTGAATGTACTGCCTGCATGTAGGTAAGTGCACCCGTGCCATGCAATGCCCAAGGAGGACAGAAGAGGCCTTCAGATCCTATGGAACTGGAGTTACATCTGTAGCTGCCAGGTGGGTGCTGGGAATAGAACCCAGGTCTTCTGCAAGAACAACCAGTGTTCTTAACTGCTGAGCCATCTCTCCAGCCCCAACTTTTTTAAAAAAATTTTTTTTATTTTATTTTGGTCTTTTTGAGACAGGGTCTCCCTGTAGCCTCAGCTGGCCTGGGACTCATTATGTAGACCAGGCTGGCCTTGAACTCACAGACATCCGCCTGCCTCTGCCTCCCGAGTTCTGGGACTACAGGTGTGCGCCACCACGCCCAGCTTTTTATTTATTTACTATTATTATTTTGTCTTTTTGAGACAGGGTCTCCCTGTAGTCCCAGCTGACCTGAACTCACTATGTAGACCAGCGATCCGCCTGCCTCTGCCTCTGGCGTGTGCCACCATGCCCAGCTTTATTTTTATTTTGTGTGTATGTATTGCCTGCATGTAGGTATGTGCACCCGTGTCGTGCAATGCCAGAGGTCAGAAGAGGCTGAGGGGGGCTGGAGAGATGGCTCAGTGGTTAAGAACACTGATTGTTCTTGCAGAACACCCAGGTTCAAATCCCAGCACCCACATGGCAGCTAACAACTGTCCGTAACTCCAGTCCCAGGGGATCTAGCAGCCTCTTCTGACCTCCGTGGGCATCGCACGACATGGGTGCACTTACCTACATGCAGGCAATACATGCATACACATAAAAACAATAAAATAAAAAAAAAAACCCAAAACCAACCAAAAAAGCTAGGTTGGTGTGACTTCCCAGGGCGGACCTTTCAGTGGACCAAGTTCCTCTTACACTTGTTTCTGGGGAGTTCTTCCTAGTCCCCAGGAAGCTACTGTCTCCCAGGCCTGGTGAACACGTCCCTTGTTGCTTGTGAGGTTTCCCTGGATCCTCCATGCTTTTACTTAACTCAAGAGAGGGTGGGCCACGTCCCCTAAACTTCGCAGCAAGTGGGGTGGGGAGGTGGAGAATGGACTAGACATGGTCTCTAACAGTCAGCTCTGGAATGTGGGTGTCTGGTTTGTTTCTTCTTTTTTTTTTTCCTTTCTTGAGACAGGGTCTCCCTGTAGCCCCAGCTGGCCTAGAACTCACTATGTAGACCAGGCTGGCCTTGATCTCACAGAAATCTGCCTGCTTCTGTCTCCCCAGTGCTGGGATTAAAGGCATGCACCACCATGCCTGGCTCAGTGGGTGTTTTGAGGGGTGCCAGGTCAAGTCTTGCTTTTATTGTGGGAGAGCCTTGGGTTAGGGGCTCAGCAGGACTGACATCTTTCTTCCCTGGTTCCCTGTGGCTCTAGGGAGGTTTTGTCCCAGAGGTGTGGGACCCTGAGGATGACTCAGGCCTTGGGATCTGGCTGAGTAAATAGAGTACAATGTCAGGGGTAAGGGTCAGGATCTTCCTGCCTGGGCTCCCCCAAACTCTGACCTTCCCTGGGGGCCACGGTGGTGGGGCCTGGCCCAGTCTGAGGCTTTGTCTCTGTGGTCTGAAGCAGGGCCAAGCCTGGGGGTTCTGGGTGGGAGAACAGAAGACCAGAGCTAATTCTGTCCAGGCTGCAGTCTCTTTGCTGGTGTTTTTCGCTCTGTTTGCTGTTTCCCATGTGGCTGATGCCCCTGGTGGCTGCCCCAGTCATGAGGCAGGTCCTTAGAATCCCAGGTCACTCCCTGCCAACCTCTGTGATCATCAGTAACCTGTTTCCCTCCACAGGGAACAATTCTGATAAAGATGACGAACATGGAGACAAGGATGCGGGACCCACTTTAAGAGGAGTGACTCCAGAGGAGGAGGCCGGCTTCCTGACAGCCTGGGGTGGTGCGGGTGGGAAAGGTGACAGGGCAGGGGCTATGGGAACCCCAGGTGCCCAGGGCTCACCTGTCCCCATCCTGGTCTCCTGGCCTTTGCTGTGCCCACCTGGGCCTCCTGGATTGCTAAAATCAGGATGAGTGGGGGGACTTGGATGCTCAAAGTTGGTCATTTTATTAAAAAAAAAAAATCACCCAAACCAAAATTACCTAACAAAAGCTCAGCAATACAAACACAGTGGTGGGGACAAGCCACAGAGAGGTTGGGACAGCTCCCCCCACCTGGTAGTGGGGACTGGCCACCTGGAGGTGGGGATAATCCTGCCATGCTGTGGAGACAGGCCACGGAGAGGTGGGGAGAGCCCCCCCAACCCAGTAGTGGCTGCCTGGAGGTGGGGATAGTCCCGCCCCGCTGTGGGGACAGGCTGTCGTCTGGAGGTGGGGACAGACCCCCTGGCAGTTATGCATCCTGCTGCTGCACAAAGGGGTTGGGGATGGCCTCCATGCCGTCCTGTGGGCAGATGAGCACCACGGAGGTGCCTCGACACACCACCAGCCCCAGTTGCCGCGTGTCCTCTGTCAGCTTGTACTGGTCATCAGGGTCTGGGGGAGATAGACAAGAAGTGCTGAGAGCATGTCTTCCTCCCTGCATTTCACAGCTAGGACAAGGGGCCCCCGTCTCTGTCCAGAGTCCCTACGCGCACTCCTTTTGGGGACTGTTGGAGACAACCTCAGACCAGAGGCTCAGAGCTAGAGATCAGTGCTCAGGTGTGCCCTTTCTGCACAGGACCGTGAGAGCTCTGGGGGACCTGGGGAGCGGCCAGCCTCAGAACTAACAGAGGACATAGACACTGCAACCAGAAGGGGCTGCGGGTCCCTAGGATTCTACCAGGACCCTGAAGAGCCAATGCTTACCCTGTAACCATCAAGGGGTGGTAGGTGAGGGGAGTGAGAGGCCCTGGTCGGGGGAGCTGGACAGCGGATGGGGACAGCATGTAATTCCAAAGCTACTGTCACAGGTGCTGGAGGAGGAGACACTCAGGTGGCCCCAGATCCCTGCTCTACCTCTTCAGGGTCCTACGGGCTTGAGCCAGTCTGGACCTGGTGCCCAGGCTGTTCTGGGGGTACTAGGAGCCCATGGCCTCTGGGACCACTGACATGTCAGGACATTACAGGGGAAGGACAGACAAGTGATTGCCATTCCTGAAGTCCCCGGGAGGGCTGATGGGAAAGTCAGCTGCCTGAGGGGAGTGGGTTAAGATCCAACCCTGGGCAGAGACCCTATGAACTTTCCTCAAACCATGTGATGCAAGAGTGAGCACTTCCCTCTACCCTAGAGGTTAATGCTCCCCAGATGCTCCCCTTTGGGCTTAGCTGGGGACACAGGCTAAGAGGGGACACACTGGGCATGGTAGTTCATGTGTGCCTTTAATCCCAGCATTTGGGAGGCAGAGGCAGACAGATCTCTGTGACACTGAGATCTGGTCTACATAGAGAGTTCCAGGCCAGCCAGGACTACAGGGAGACCCTGTCTCAAGAAACAAACAAACAAAGGGGACAGGGAGGGGCTTAGAGGAGCCACCATGCCTGGTTCCCTTTCTCCCCTTGCTGGTGATCAGAGAATGGGGTGATGGGTGAGGGACCCAGACACCAGCATGTACCCTTAGCAAACCAAGGTTCAGGCAATTGTCCACTGCCTGTTGCCATATGACCCACGGGTGCAGTGGGGATGGGCCAGACACTGCATATCTGCACCCTCAGCCTCACCACGCATATGTTCGATGGTTCCATCCAGCACCAGGTTGAGCAGTGGGTCGAATCCTTTCAAGATCCCACTGGCTTGAGGAGAGAAAGAGAGAAGTGTGAGATCAGGGTCATCCAGCAGGACAGCTCAAGGGATGGGGACACCATGTCACCTTCCACCAGGACTCCACTGTGGGTGGAATGACCCAGTGTGGGTGGTCTGGAGACCCCCAAGCCAAGACTCTGCCTTCTAATACGGAAAGGGCCACAGATGGTACACAGTGGGTTGTGCCAATAAAAGTGAAGCTTTCATTTATGAAGCTCAAAGTGGAGGCACACGCCTTTAACCCCAGTACTCTGGAGGCAGAGGCAGGTAGATTTCTGTGAGATTGAGAACAGCTAGATTGACCCTGCCTCAGAAGGACCAAAAAGGGAGTGGGGGTAAGTGGCTCAGTGGTTAAGAACACTGGCTGCTCTTGCAGAGGACCCAGGCTCAGTTCCCAGCACCCACATGGTAGCTAACAACCATCCAGTTGTTAGTCCAGTTCCAGAAGGATCCAACACCCTCTTCTGTCCTCTGTGGGCACTGGATGACACAGGCACACTCAAATGTATGCAGGTATAACATTCATACACATAAAAAATAAATAAAAATAGCCGGGCGTGGTGCCGCATGTTTGTAGTCCCAGCACTTGGGAGGCAGCGGCAGGCAGATCTTTGTGAGTTCAAGGCCAGCCTGGTCTACATAGTGAGTTCCAGGACAGCTGGGGCTACAGGGAGACCCTGTCTCAAAAAGACAAAAATTAAATAAATAAATAAATAAAATAAAAATAGGTAAATTTTAAAAACTAAGACCAAAAAATAAACAAATAATAATAATGCTCAGTGGACAGAGCACTCACCTAGCTCCCACCAGGCCCTGGGTTCATCCCCAACACTGCATAAACCAGACATGGTGGTGCATGCCTGTCATCCCAGCACTCTGGAGGTGAAGGCAGGAGGATTAGGAGTTCAGGGTCAGCCAGCCTGGGCTACATGAGAACCTGTCGAAAAGAAGCAAAAACAAAACAAACAACCAAAGGAAAAGAAAGATCTTTCTTCTTCTTTTTTTTTGGCCTTTTTGAGACAGGATCTCCCTGTAGCCCCAGCTGTCCTGCAACTCACTATGTAGAGCAGGCTGGCCTTGAGCTCACAGAGATCCTCTACACCTCTACATCCTTTCTACACCTGGTAGAAAGCTATTTCAAGATGGGTGGAGAGTGTGTGGGATTCACATTTTGTTAAGTCTAAATAAAGGGTTTTCTTATTTGCTCCTCCTGCTTGGTGTCCCTTGCTTTGCAGACCTGACACTGGTCCTGTCTGGCCCAGGGAGGAACAGGCAAGCCACAGACTCACCTTCTCGGCCACCCTGGAACTTCACGCGGATGGTCTTGTCGATGTATTTCGACAGATCAAGGATGCTCTCCTTCTTTTTCTTCTCCTTGTCCTGGGGGAAGGAGGAATGGGTGAATGGGGACTCTGCATCTCATGTCCTGTCTGCACTCCATGTCCTCACGTTCCCCTCTGCATTCCATGTCTCCGTCCGCACCCCATTTCCCCATGTCCCCGTCTGTACCTCATGTCCCTGTCTGCACCTCAGGTCTCCATCTGCACCTCATGATTCCATGTCCTTGTCTCCACCGCATGTCCCCATGTTCCCGTCTGCACCCCGTGTCCCTGTCTGCACCGCATATCCCCGTCTGCACCCCATGTCCCTATGTCCCCGTCTGCACCTCCTGTCCCCGTTTCACACCACATCCCTATCTCCGCCTCCCCCCCCACTTTCTTGCCTTCTGTCTCCCCGTTTCCGGCACCCCGGTTCTCCATCCCCGTGTTCCCACGCGTCCAATTCCCTCCCCTCTCCCGCCGTTCCTGCGCGCTCACCGCCATCTTCCTGTCACGCGCCGCTCTCCGCAAGGGCAACCCTACCCCTGGTGACGTAGGGTCGTTCTGCGCATGCGCCAACTCCGCGCACGCGCACTGCGCTATCCTGGCAGGCGTTGCCTGGAAACCTTCGGCCGACTGTTGCGGTGGGACCCGACATGGCGGCAGCGCGGCTGGCCGCCGCTCTGCTGCTGCTCGCGGCCCAGGTGAGCGCCGCGGCGGGGCGGTGACCGTGTCACGCGTGACCGTGGGCGGGACCTGGCTTTCCCTCGCTGTCCCGGCCGAACTGAGTTCGCGCCGCTTCCTGGGGCCCAACCGCTGCCAGCGGCCTCAGTTTCTCCCTCTGCAGAATGGGACGAGGCCCCTGCGCTCTCAGCGCCACCCCGCGGAGCTCGCAGCTTCGTGTCCCGGCTTCGCTCCGTGACCTCGGGAAGAGGGTTCCCACTTCCCCGTGCGAGTGCAGAAAGGGGTACTGGCGGCTGCTAGGGGTGCAGGGCGCGTGCGCGGGACACTCGGCGCCCAGGAGAGATGTGGAGGGTTGTGTTCTGCTTTACATGTGAGACAGGGTCTCATGTAGCCCAAGCAGGCCTTGAATTCCTTCTATAGCCCAGGCTAGTGATAAACTCTGATTATAGCAAAGGTTGGTCTTGAACTCTGTGTAGTCCAGACTGGAACCCCTGTATAGTCCAGACTGACTCAAACTGGCTATGTCCCTAAGCTGGCCTCAAACTCACTCTGCAGCCCTGGCTAGCCTTGAGCGAGCTCACTATATAGCCCAGGCTGGCCTGAAACTCAGAGCACACCGCCTGCCTCAGCACCCTGAGTGCTGGGTGTCAGTTCTACCCATGACCTCTGGCTTAGCTGTTGGGTTGTTTTCCTTGGCATTGTCTACTCTAATTTTGTAAACCTGGAAGAGGGTGCCCTGTCCTTGGGGACACCCGACGATGGTTGTTGGGTTGTAATGATAGCCCACAGGGCGTCCTGGGTGCTGTTGTGCCTGTCGGGTTTCTGTTTTTCTCTTCTGGGTTCTGTGCACATGGAATGAGGGGCATGGTGTTTTCATAGCTCGGTTTGGCCTTGAGCTTGCTCTGTAGCCCAGATTGGTCTTCTGAGTGCTGGCATGACAGGCACACTACTTCCTGGACTGGCCAAGCAGTTAGGACGTTTCTGCCCATTTGGTTCTCAGTCTCCTCCACTATGGGACCCATGTTTCTCCTCAGCTGGTATCATCCTGCATTCCTGTCCCCCTAGTCCCATGCTTTACTAGGCATCGCAAGCCTGCTGCATCTTTCTAAGTGATTTGCCTTCACCAGACATCTGACCTGACTATCCTTCTGAGCAGGTACCTAGTGCCCTCAAAGACTGTTTGCTCCCAGTCTTTTCGGTCACCCCTAAATATCACTGATCATCTGGTTGTGGCTGACCCCCACCCCCAACCCCCAGCCTCTGCCTCCTTTGCTGGGCCTATCCTATGGAGGGGCTTCGTAGGAGAAGTGACACCAAGGACTCTGAAGGATGCATAGGAGTTTGCGAGGTAGGGACTGCTAACAACAGTGTCCTGGGCAGCAGAAGCCAGGCCAGAGTGTGAGGGAGACTGAGCTGGGCAGCTGGGAGATACGCCCCTGGAGAAGCAGTCCCCACAAACGGAGGTCCATCAGGTGGAGTGTGGAGGGCAGGCAGGATTTCTCCTCAGGATTAGAGGTAGGGTGGGTCCAGCTGGATAGGGAGGCCATTGATGGAAGACTGTGCCTGGGAACTTTACCCCGGGCAGGTGCTGTGTCACCTGGACTTTATCACATGGGAGCAGCTCCCCCTGCCCTCCCCAGATGTGGTGAAATAGGCTAGCTGGCATTCCTGGTGGGGTGGCAGCCTGGGCACAGGTGCCCTGGGGTGAGACCAGCTCTGCTCTAAGCAGGGGGTATCTTGGTGACCTTCCTGGACACACTGCCATCTTGTGACCCCAGATGGCTTGTGACCCCAGATGGGAGACTTGATTTCCAGAGTCATACACTCTACCCATTATCACAAGAGCTATGTGCTGTGGGCTTATAAGTGGTGCTGTGAGAGTCTACTGTGTCCCCGAGAGTCCCCCTTCTTTTCCATGTGGCCTGTGCCAACTGCTGGCACACAAGACCTCTCTCAAGATAGGGAATATGGTGGTTCCCTCTGAGGTGATGGAGGCTAGTGGTCCTGAAGCTTGGTGCTCCATGCAGCCAAGTGAGTGCTCTCTGGGCTGGTGTCCAGGCTAGCCTTAACTGGACCTGTCACTTCTGAACCCCAGTTCCCATGGGTCCTTGTCAGAGCCTCCCAGACCTGTTCAGTGTCACTGTTCAGCATTGAGGATGTGGGGAGGGCAACCTGTGAATGCACATTTGTACTCCTAAATGGGTGCTTTGAAGAGAAGCAGCTATCAATTTCTGTTTGACAGAAAAGCCACTTTTCAGGGGCTAGAGAGATGGCTCAGCAGTTAAGAGCACTGGCTGTTCTTGCAGAGGACTCAGGTTCCATTCCCAGCACCCACATGGCGGCTACAAACCGTCCTTAACTCCAATTCCAGGGGAATCCAACGCCCTCTTCTGACCTCCATGGCATTGCACTCATGTACATGCAGGCAATACACTCATACACATAAAAATAATAAACTATTAAAAAAAAAAAAAAGAGGGCTGGGCGTGGTGGCACATGCCTTTAATCCCAGCATTTGGGAGGCAGAGACAGGTGGACCTCTGTGAATTCAAGGCGAGGCTGGTCTACATAGTGAGTTCCAGGACAGCTGGGACTACAGGGAGACCCTGTCTCAAAAAGACAAAATAAATAAAATATTTAAAACTTTCTTTACAAACATAGAGGGCAGTCAAGTTTGGGCTGTGAATGGAGGCCCTCTACGATCTGGAGACCCCTCTTGGAGGACTCAGGATGCTGGACAGGAGCTTCTGGAAGGGGCACATGGCTGGCAGGACTCAGGATCACACTAAGGGGTGCCCTGGATGGGTGTGATTCTGGCCTGGGTTGAGGGAGGAGGTGAAATGAAGTGCTCCCTAGTTCCCCTGTGATCATCCTCTGCCCCTCCCTCCCCAGGGCTGATGACCAGGCTGTCACTTAGCCCAGGGACTTCCCAGGACACAGCACCCTGAAGAGGCACACAGGCCATTGTCTTGGGGACAGTTGGTGGCAGGGGCCCAGCCCTCCCTGGATGTGAGCAGCCAGCAGCAGGCTGGGGACACATTCACCAGCTGCCCGCACTGTGTGGCCCTGCGCCAGACTGTGGAACTGGAGTCTCATAAGGGCCTCTAATGAGAAGCTTCCAGGCTGGGTTAGTGCCCCCAACCCCAAAGCTGGCGAGGTATATCTGTGTGGGGGACCCAGGCATCCTGGTAGGTACCCTGTCATGCCAGTCTTGCTGGTTTAATGCAGGTTGGCATCCATCTATGTGCACTCAGGCTGACACTGCTGCCTGCTTGTTTCCTGTTTCCATGGCAGGTCCTCAGGGGACCCAGCCTCTCTCTCTAGGAGTTCACAGGCAGCAGGAGGAGCCTGGGTGCCAGGTGACTTCTGGGGAGACACAAATGTCTGCTTAGCCAGTGCGTTTCTTGTGGTCACTCACAGGAGCATGGGCACTTAGAAGCATCTCGTTGCTGAAAAGCCCACCTTGCCCAGGAACAGGTCACAGAAGTTGCATCCCAGAGCCCAGTGCAGGATGTGCGCGCAGTTTAACTTTGGGCAGGCAGACTCTTCTCTCCCCCGCAAGGGTTGCTTATGGAACCCCAGGGACCTACCTGTTGAATCTTAACTAAACTGGAAGTTTCCTTTGCTTCCTGAGCTGTGTGAGACTCCATGAGGGGGAATGTTCCATTTGAAGGAAATAGCTAGGCAGAACTGCACCCCTTCCTCCTGTTCTTATCCTCCATGTCCTCTGAGCGTTGGAGGGGTGAGACAGGTGTCTAATTGTGTTTGGTGTAAGGTTGACCATTGGGCCACTGGCCTCAGCAGTAGTCACTCATTCTCAGGAGGTTGATTGGTTCACCACAAAGTTTTCCTCCAAGAATGATCAGAGCCTCTGCCTAGAATCCCCAGTGAAGGGCAGGGGGTGTGGCTCTCACAGAGTGATAGCCTAGAATCCCTCAGTGACAGGCTGGGAGTATGGCTCAGAGGTAGAGTGACAGCCTAGAGTGAGCCTAGCTCACACCTTTAACCCCAGTACTCAAGTGGCAGAGGCAGGGGGATCTCTGGGAGATTGAGGCCAACCTGGTCTATGTAGTGAGTTTCAGGCCAACAGGGAGATCGTGTCTCAAGAAAGAATTTCTTAGTGTGTGGCTGAGGTGTGGCTTGGGTAGTGGAGGCAGGTGGATCAGGAATTCCAGGTTATCCTCAGCTACAGAGAGCATGACACCAGCCCAGGCTCAATGAGAACCTACTGCCACTACCACCAAAAAACCCCCAAACCCAGTTGCTTCCCCACTGGGGACTGTGACTTCTTCAGCCAAAAGCTTTGCCCTACCTTATACCAGACGTGATTTCCTCCTGTGAGGGCTTAGGTCCAGTCTGGAAGCAAGCAGTTGGTTCCCCTGTATTTGTACCACTGTTCGGGTAAATCAATCAGAACACAGTTTTTGCACCTACAGCAAGTGTGCTTCTGTTGTGCTAGTGGGCACAGCCTTCTTGGCACGTTGTATGTAGCACACAGGGTCTGATATCCATGCATGCCTATTGCTGGTGGCAAGTGCCCCAAGCAGCCAGCAGGGAGGAGTCCACCAACTGGTTCTAACCAGATTTCTCTATGTCCTGCTGCTATCTTCAGCAATAGGGTCTTTTAAAAAAAAACTTTGATTTATTCTTATCATTATTAATTTTTTTGGGGTCTTTTTGAGACAGGGTCTCCCTGTGGCCCCAGCTGGCCTGGAACTTACTATGTAGACCAGGCTGGCCTTGAACTCACAGAGATCCGCCTACTCTGCCTCCCGAGTGCTGGGATTAAAGGCGTGTGCCACCATGCCCAGCTTTTTATTTTAATTTTATGTGTATGAGTGTATTGCCTGCATGTATGCGAGTGCACCCGTGTCGTGCAATGCTGCAGAGGTCAGAAGAGGGCTTCGGATTCCCTTGGAACTGGAGTTAAGGATGATTCATAGCCGCCATGTGGGTGCTGGGAATCGAACCTAGGTCCTCTGCAAGAGCAGTCAGTGCTCTTAACCACTGAGCTATCTCTCCAGCCCCACTAGCTGTTTATTTTATGTGTATGAGCATTTTGCCTGTTTGTATGTGTGTACCATGTGCATGCAATGCCTAAAGAGGCCAAAAGGTGGGGGGGGCATCTGATCTCTTGGAACTGCAATTATGGACTGTTATAAGTTGCCATGTGGGTGCTGGGAACTGAACCTGGGTCCTTGTCAAGAGTACCCAAGTACCCACTGCTCTTAACCACTGAGCCAACTCGCCAGCCCCTGAAGTTTTTACTTTATTTATTTTATATATAGGTGTACATGTATGGGTGCTCACGTGCCATGGCCCACATATGGAGGTCAGAGGACAACTTGGGAGAGTTGGTTCTCTCCCACCACCATGTGGGTCTTGAGGATTGAACTTAGGGTATCAGACTTGGCAGCAAGCCCCTTTACTAACTGAGCCCTCTTCGCTGGTCTGTGTTTCTTGAATTTTCTGAGTTTCCCTCTAGGAGGAAATGTGTAATGTGGAGAGACTCGTTATACACCACCAAGGCCACTGCTGGGGCCTGGGGCATGCGAGCAGCCACAGACATGCCCATGAGTCCTCCAGAGTCTCAGCACAGCTTCTCCTCTGCCATCCCCTTCTCTGCATCCCAGAGAGCTCCCTGGTTTCTGTTGGGTCCTGTGTGGCCCTGTGATGACATACCACTAGAGACAGAGGAGTCCAGGAAACTGAAAGCCATCAGAGTCTGGCTAGGCCTGGTGGGAGCCAGTGAGGGGCTGTAGGACCCCTCAAGTGAAGTGCTGGGCCCTCACTGCTAGCTCTGAAGATGCAATTTAGCCAGGCCCATGATTGGCCACCTTCCTGTAGGATTTAGGAGTCCCTTACTCAGTGATAGTCTTGAGTCTTTCTGTGAGATGCTGGGAGCAATGGAAGGGAAGTGCCTGTAGACCTCCTTTGCCTCTGGTGGGGGGCAGCCCCTTGAGGAGGGCTGCCGAAGAAAGCACAAGTGAGGGAGCCCCTCCCCCTTTCCAGATGACGTCTCTGTAGTCCAGGCTGGCCTCAAACTCCTGCCTCAGTCCTGCCTCAGCCTCCTGAGTTCTGGGGTCACAGGCCTGCTCCACCACGCCTGGCTCGGGAAAGCACACTTACTTGTGTCAGCCCATCTCGCTGGTATCACCACCAGGATCAGAACAGTGTCGCCAGATCCCCTTTCTGAGGTGTCCTCAGTTCTTCTCGCCCTTGAGATGCATGGGGTCTATGACACCACCCTGTTTTTGCAGGTGGCCTGTGAGTACGGCATGCTACATGTGGTATCCGAGAAAGGTGGTCCCCAGAGCAAGGACTACTGCATCCTCTACAACCCACAGTGGGCCCGCCTGCCACATGACCTGGCCAAAGTGGTGAGTGTTGCCTAGGGCCCCTGTGCTTGGCCCCTGCTGTGATACCCATTTAACTCGTAGGGTCAACAGGCTGCCCCCCGACCCAGCTCTGGACCTGGATATGCTTAGCTCCCTCTCCCTGTGCCTCGGTTTCTACACCCAGGAATGGAAGCTGGCCAGCCGCTGTGGGGAGGCAGGCTTGCTGGGTACCCTGCTAAAGCCAGCTACTGAGGGTCGTGTCACCCCTGGTGCTCTACACAGGAGTGTGTCAGGTCATCAGGTTGGCGGGATGGAGGACATCTTGCAGTGACAGCAGGTGGGGGGAAGGGGGGAGGGGCCTGGTGTTGGCCTCCACATGTGTCTTCCACTCCTCAGCTTGTGGCTGGTCTCCCATCTCACCTCCTTTGAGACCCCTGCTGTTCCTGTCCACCTGTCCCCCTTGTTCCCAATAGACCCAGGGAGGTGTCTGTTCTCTAATGTGCCCATCTTTCCCTTCCTGTGTGCATAACTTGGTGCTCAGCATGTGTGGTTGGGTGTATGTGTAGGCATGTAAGAGTGCCCATTGTGCCTTAGCCAGGCGTGGTGGCGCACATCTTTAATCCTACCACTCGGGAGGCAGAGACAGGTGGATCTCTGTGAGTTCAAGGCCAGCCTGGTCTACATAGTGAGTTCTAGGCCAGCCAGGGCTACAAGGAGACCCTGTCTCAAAAATACCCAAAAAAAAAGAGTGCCCATTGTGCCTTTGAGTGCAGGTGTATGCAGGTGGCATATACACAGGTGGTATTTTAAGTAAGTGACCCCACTGTTTAGGGCCTGAGATCTTGAAGTCCAAACTGGGGGTCTACTGGGTTTCAGGACAGTGCCCATTGTGGCTGGGGACCTGGGTACAAGAGTTTGCACAGTGCATGTTGTAGATGTGAAACAGCCTGTCCCACATGTCCCCTCTTGGGATTCCCTGTCCTGTCGTGGGCATTAGGGGCAGCATGTGCTCCAGTCCTCTTTGGGGACTCGGTGGCCTGATGTTGTTCCCCTTCCCTAGTCTTTTCTGCAGCTCCGAGATCTGCGCTCTGCCCAGCTCTGTTCCCACTTTGACCTTCCAGCTGATGGCTTTAGCAACCAGATCCCTCTGGTGGCCCGTGGCAACTGCACCTTCTATGAGAAAGTGCGACTGGCCCAGGGCAGTGGGGCACGTGGGCTGCTGGTGGTCAGCAAGGAGAAGCTGGTAGGGGTGCCTGGACCCTCTCGTCATCTCTGGGGGTAGGACACATGGGGGAGCCCCAGGCTTAGTGTGATCGGGGGACCTGAGACACTGAGTAGGCTGGTGGGGGCAACAGGGACATCAGAGCCTAGTGCTGGGTTCCAGCAGCCGCAACTGTGGGATTTGTGTTTTGACAAGGCGGTGCTGATGGGCTGCAGACCCTCAGAGTCTCCAGGCCTCTGTGCTGGGCCAGTGCTGAGGTACCTGGGGCTTTCTGCCTTGTGGTGCTAACCCGAACCCCAGCCCCTTCCTCAAACCTAAGTGAAGAACTGAGCCCTTGAGGGGCTTCTAGGGCTGCAGTGTCCCACAGAGGACTGGGATGACCCCAGCACTGCCTACTCCTTGCAGGTCCCCCCAGGAGGCAACAAGACACAGTATGAAGAGATCAGCATCCCTGTGGCCCTGCTCAGCCACAGGGACTCGCAGGACATCTTCAGGGTAGGCTGGGGGACAGGGAAGCGGGACTGTGATCTGGGCTCGGGTCCTGGGTCTGGGTGTGGGTCTGAGCATTCTGGGTGCAAGTCCTAGGTCCTGGTTCTGAGTGGGGTCCCAGGTCCAGGGTACCAGTTCTGGATTCTGTGTATGGTCTTGCATCCCTATTCTGGGCACTGACCTATCCTGAAGTCATATCCCCACACCCTCATTTTGCTGTCTGTCCCCACTGTCCCACCCCTGTTGTCCACAGCGCTTTGGCCTGGTAGTGCGGGTGGCACTGTATGCCCCTGGAGAGCCAGTGCTGGACTACAACATGGTCATCATCTTCATCATGGCCGTGGGCACTGTGGCACTCGGTGGCTACTGGGCAGGCAGCCGAGATGTGAAGAAGTGAGTGCTAACTAAGGGATGGAGGGCCTGGCTAAAGAAGCTTCCAGAAGGAAGGACAGTGGGTGGAGCTGCAGCTCCTGACTAGGGATGACCCTGCTGTCCTCCAAGAAGGTACATGAAGCACAAGCGTGACGATGGCCCAGAGAAGCAGGAGGATGAGGCGGTAGACGTGACACCTGTCATGATCTGCGTCTTCGTGGTCATGTGCTGCCTCATGCTGGTGCTGCTCTACTACTTCTACGACCGACTGGGTGTGCACGCGCCCCTGTCCCCTTCTGCCCCCAGCACCCTGCTGTGGTGCTGCATGCTTACACGCCTGTCCCCACAGTCTATGTCATTATCGGGATTTTCTGCCTGGCGTCCTCTACTGGCCTCTACAGCTGCCTGGCACCCTGTGTGCGCAGGCTGCCCTTCTGCAGATGCAGGTAAGCCCCCAGGCCCAGCCTCAGTTTCCAGGTCCCCATGACCTTGACCAGATCACCTCTCCCTTCTGCAGTCCCCCACACATCTTCCACGTTTGGAGTATAGTATACAGCAGGTGCCCACTCACTGCTGGTTGTGGGCAGGGTGGTTTTGAGCCTCCGGGCCCCCATGCGCTGTACCCCTGTCTTGTCCAGCTGACCGCAGGGTAAGGGTTCCTCCCCAGGTACCCAGCCCAGGGTCATCAGGTCCCAGGGTATGAAGCTGGTGGGAGCAGGTTGGGCCTCTGTTGGTTTCTAGGGGTTTCCCAGACACAGCACCAGTGGGCACAGGCAGTGCTGCTCAGAGCTGCTTGTGGTTGACGGGCTAGGTGGGAGGAGCCCAGGAACAGCAAGATAGAGGCCATATGAGGTACTGTCAAAAGACATGGGGGCTGGCCAGACAGGGGACACAGAGTCGGGAGCTGCTGCTCTTGGGGGACCAGGGGATGGGAGGCACAGGCCAGGAGCCATGGCTCAGGGTGGTGTGGCATCACGGCCTGGGCAAGTGGGCAGGAGGGGTGCTGATGGGCAGTCCCCCCTAGGGTCCCCGACAACAGCCTGCCGTACTTCCACAAGCGCCCACAGGCCCGCATGCTGCTGCTTGCGCTCTTCTGTATTGGCATCACTGTGGTGTGGGGCATCTTCCGCAATGAGGACCAGTAAGTGCTACATCCCCAAGCCTGGCCAGCAGCTGCCCCCTCGACCCTGTCCTCAGGTACCCCCACCACCCAGCCAGGCCCTGTGCTGCCGCCTGCCCGTGTCCCATTTCACCTGGGTCTGGCCCAGAGCCCATCCTCTGATAGGAATCTGGATAAAGATACTGCCCAGCCTCCACGCAGCCTTTGGGCATGGCGAGGGGGCTCACTGGCTCAAGGCCATCATCCGCCCCCATCATCCTTTTCATGGGCGTAGCCAGCACCCAATGAAGCCTGGTGCCACTTGTTACCATCTGCCCCCCACAGTGAAGATAGGCTTCACTCCCTCACTCCCCCTGCACTGCTCCTCATGGGATTCTGTGGGGGGTGGGGGTTGTCAGGCTCCTTCTCTGGCTCCAGCTCTTGCTCTCCCCTGACACCATCTGGTGGGTCCCAGGTTCCTCCAGGCAGCCAAGCACTCCCAGCTTCCGAGCTGCCTGGCGCCATAACAGACTCCACTGGCAGCAGAAAACAGGAAAATATTGAGTCCTGTGCGTACAAGATAGGGGACTCTGACAGGTCCCAAGCCAGCAAACTCCCACCTGTCCCACCTGTCCCCACATGTCCTACCTACTTCCTAGCAGCATTCTACATGGTGGCCTCAGCGGGGGTCAGGAGAGTCACCTCCGCTCTCCGCTTCCTGACCGTGACCATCCCACCGTTCCCAGGGTCCCAGCTCTCTCTGGAACCTGGCTAAATAGTTGCGTGCTATGTGTTTTGGAGAAGTTCAAATGGGATGGAAGCATTGCTCTAGCCCATACCCCACGTGGAGCCCCACCCTACCTATGCGGAGGGCCTAGGTGCTGGGCTGTGCTGTGCAGCCTGTGTGAGGTGCTGCTCTCAGGCCACACATGAACAGGGTGGATGTGGCTCATGACTTGGTGGCCAGCTGTGGGGACAGCTCCAAGTCACAGGGCACCTTCTGCCAGGTGGGCCTGGGTCCTGCAGGACACACTGGGCATCGCCTTCTGCCTCTACATGCTGAAGACCATCCGCCTGCCCACTTTTAAGGTGAGGGCCACCGCCAGGCTGGTGGACACTGGGGGAGAGTTTGGATCCTGGGTGGGCCGTGGGTCCTGGGTTGGGGTTGGGCCACTTTGGGTGCTGGCCTCCACAGGCCTGCACACTGCTGCTGCTGGTGCTGTTTATCTATGATGTCTTCTTCGTCTTCATCACACCCTTCCTGACTAAGGTAGGTACCCTTGCTCCTGGCATTCCCCATCCTCCGTCCTCCCTCTTCCTCCCCTGCTGATAATCTGTCCTGTGCAGAGTGGGAACAGCATCATGGTGGAGGTGGCCACTGGGCCTTCGAACTCGTCCACCCATGAGAAGGTATGCCACATGGCCATAGGCTGGGGTCCAAACAGAAGCAGTGGGTATGAGTGATCTGCTTAGCCTGAGCCATGCTCTCCCCACAGTTGCCTATGGTGCTGAAGGTACCCAGGTTGAACACATCACCGCTCTCACTGTGTGATCGGCCCTTCTCCCTCCTGGGCTTTGGAGACATCTTGGTGCCAGGTGTGGGCTTCGGGCAGGTGGGATAGGCAAGTGCCTGGAGGCTCAAGTTAAGGACTCTGGGATCTGGGTGGTGAGGCCCTTCCGTATCTTGGTCCTGTCCATGTGGTCATGTTTGCTGGGCCCCTACTGGGGTACAAGGTGATGTAGGTCCCCACTGCCCTGTCCACCGTAGTGGGACCCCTCAGGATTACCCTGAGGCCACGTCAGCCTGCTGGTCATAGTGATGATCACGCTCTGGAGTATGTGGTCCCCAGGGCTGTGCCATGTGTAGCTGACACTGCATCCCCCACAGGGCTGCTGGTGGCCTACTGCCACAGGTTCGACATCCAGGTGCAGTCCTCCAGGGTGTATTTCGTGGCCTGCACCATAGGTAGGTGGCAGGATGGCTGGGAGGCCTGGCGGGGATGCTGCTGTGCCACCCTTCTATCCAGCTCTTCCTGTTGTCTTTCCTGGGTGTTTGCTCCATCCCGTCCCTGGAGCCGCTATCCAGGCCTCCATGTTTCCACCCATCTCCCCTGGCTGGTTTGAGATATTTTCCAGTGGGATCCAGCACAGTTAGGGCCAGCAATGCCTGGCTCCCATGCCTATCCACCCACCTCCTCCCTCCTCCTGCACAGCCCTACCCCAGGGACCTGGGCAACATATCTCTGTCTCTCTCTGTGTGTTTCTAGAGACTCAACCTCATGTAGCCAGGCAGCCTGCAGCTCAGAGTCCTCCTACCTCAGCCTCCCGAGTTGTAGGTTGACAGCCACAGACCCCCCAATGCCCAGATGCGGCTCTCTCTCTGTGCTCCTCGTCCTCATTCCCTTCCACCATTCACAGTGATACCCCTTGTCCTGTCCCCTCAGCCTACGGCCTGGGCCTCCTGGTGACATTTATGGCGTTGGTCCTGATGCAGCGTGGCCAGCCCGCCCTGCTCTACTTGGTGCCCTGCACACTGCTGACCAGCTGCGCCGTGGCGCTCTGGCGCCGGGAGCTGGGTGCCTTCTGGATGGGCAGTGGCTTTGCGGTGAATACCAGTTTGCTATGACTGCGGTGTAGCCCCCTAAGGCCACCAGGTCAAGTTGAGTCTGACCTCCTCATGCTCCCACCGAGCCCCAGCCCTCAAGCCCCACTTCTGGGAGCCTGTGCTTTGGGTTTTGAGGTCCCCCTTGGGGGCACACTATGTGTGACCTAAGGCTATAAACAGTCCTATTACCAAAGTTGCCCCCACAAACCCAGTAATACCCACAGAAGATGAAGGACTCAGTGGAGGACTGAGGGGACAGATGGGGTTGGAGGGGCCTCCCTCAGGCACCCAAGATGAGCCTGCTTCTTGAGGACACTCTCCTATGGGCCCTTGGGTTCATGTGCTTCTGAGCCAAGATCCACGTAGCCAGCAGCCTTTGCTCACCACCTCTTATAGTGTGTGACACCTTCAGAGGCCATTGAGCCCCTCTGCGTGTAGATTCAGCCATGGACTGCGTGGGTTCACTAGGGAAGCTCAAGAGGAGCAGCACAAGTGGGAGAGATGGGGAGCAGCTTCCCCATGGCTGCTCCCGGGAGCATGTTGTTGGGACCCTGGAGGCCGGGATGCCCTGCAGCCTGCACTAACCACCCCACCCCCTCTTCCAGGTTCTGCCCCATAGGGATCTCTGTGGGGTGCTTGTCCCAGGCTCACCAGCCTTCTCTTCCACAGAAGGATGGACCTCAATCCCCATGGACCCCAGCTGAGGGGCCCCAGCCCCCGAAGGACTCAGGTGCCCCCCTCCCCCAGCAGCCTCCATGTGAAGAGTTGGCCAAGAGCCCCCTGCCAGCTGAGGAGACAGCCCTGCCTGAGGATGCCGGAATCGTAGACCCTGCCCAGGATCCTGCCAGCCCAGTGGGTAGCATCCCTGAGCCCACAGACAGGGACCAGGCCCAGCCCGGCCCTGTGGCTCAGCCAGGGACCTCAGCCTAGGGAGACAAGGTGCAACAGTTGGGCCCTTGCAGCCTTCATGCCACACTGAGACGAGATGCTGGCCACCCAGGGCCTACAGGAGACTAGGGACAGCTGCCACCCACTCTGGCGACAGATCTGCGCTGTGCCCTCCCTCACATGGTGCTCAGCCCTCTGACGCCCCGCACCCATCCTCCCCACCACTGCTGTGCCCCAGCCTCCAGCTCAGCAATGCGCCTGACCACCAGCACCCAGCTGTCCTCCAGGCCAAAAGGCTCACTTGCTGCCCACTCCATGCAAGGCCGCCGCCCTGGTGCTTTGCCCGCTTCGCTTGGGGTCTCCCCGCTGACCTCCCCTCCCTCAGCAGGACTGAGTTTGTGGGGCAGAAGCGACACCCCAGTGACACAGGTTCTTGTGGGAATGGCGGTCAAGTGAGGCCCAGGTGTCAGTGCCCCATTTGAGGGTGCCAGTGAGGGGCTGGGCCCCACCAGGACAGTCCCATGCAGGTCACCAAGATGGCCACACACCACATTTAATAAACAATCCCCCTGATGGAGGGTCTGTGGCCTGCAGTGCGTGGACACTGGCTAGGCATGGACAGGCCTGTGTCCCCAGTGGGATGCAATGCCGGCATCTTCTACACCATGGTTGCCACCCTCTGCCCCAGCAGAGTCTCGGCCTGGTGTCTGTCCTCTACCTCACGGCCCAGGCTCTATGCCCCTCTGCAGAGCTGCCTGCAAGGAGCTCTCTCCACATGCTGCATGTCACCCAGGCCATGGTACTGCACATCCGTCATGGATCCTGGGCTTACTCATCCACACACACTCACATGGGGAAGGGAGCTGCAGGGTGAACAGTGACAGCTGGGCCATCCCCAGAACTTTGGGTAGAAAGGGACATATCCCTTAAGCACGTCTGCTTTTTATCAGAGTGGACAGGGACAGGAGCACTGGGGGCACTGAGGAGAAACCCTGCAGGCCAGCCATCTGCTTCCGCCACTGAGACTGCGCCTTAAGCCATTTTGTATGTGTGCGTGTCTGTGGAACAGGCTCTTCCATCTCTGGGCTAGTTGGAGGGGCTCCTGAGGGCCCGGGATTTGGCCCTATCTGGTGATTAAACAACTTTTGATACCACAGTCTCCTGTCTAGCAGGGGCAACCAATCTGAGTGCACTGGTGCCTGTTCCCCAGTGCTGGTGAGTCCTGACAAGAATGTTGGGTGGGTGGAGTGTGGACCTTGGATCCCTAGGCTCATACCACTTGTTCCCACAGCTCCCTGTGCTAGGGACCAGGGATATGTGTGGCTCTGCACTCAAAACAGCCCCAGATTGAGGCTTTGAGGGCTTTAGGCACACAAAGTCCAGGAGAACCCATCACGTGGCAGGGGGGTCACACCAGGACAGGGTGCTTAAAACCTATTCAAGAGGGCTGGGGCTGTAGCTCAGTGGGTAGAGTGCTCTCCCAGCACTTGGGAGGTGGAGTCAGAAGGATCAGGAGTTCAAGGTCATCCTCAGCTACATCATGTCTTTAAGGCTAGCCTGAGCAGTTACTCAAGACCCTGTCTCAAAAAATGACCAAAGTTGGTTTAGGTTGTTTGGGGGCTTTTCGTTTTGTTTATATTTTGTATTTTGAGACAGGGACTCTCTCTATAGCCCAGGCTGGCCTAAAACTCGAGATCTTCCTGCCTCAGCTTCCCAAAATCTGGGATCACAGGTGTACATCCCCCACTCCTGGCTTGAAATTAGTGCAGTTTAGTTTTTTAAAAATGTTATTTTTATTTATGTGTATGAGTGTATTGCCTGCATGTATGTGAGTGCACCCGTGTTGTGCAATGCCACGGTCAGAAGAGGGCTTCTGAGTCCCCTGAAACTGGAGTTAAGGACAATTCGTAGCCACCATGTGGGTGGTGGGAATTGAACCCGGGTCCTCTGCAAGAGCTGTCAGTGCTCTTAACCGCTGAGCCATCTCTCCAGCCCTAGTTTTTGAATTTTTCTAAAATGACATTTATTGAGGAGGGGTACATGACACAGCATACATGTGGAGGCCAGGGGGTACACATGTCAACATACATGTTGGAGGCCAAAGGACAACTTGCAGAAGTTGGTTCTTCCATCATGTGGGTTCTGGGAATTAAGTCATGAGGCCTTGGCAAGCATTTTACCTGTTGAGCCATCTCTCCAGCCCTAATTTTTTAATTTAAAAGTTTCTTTTTGGTAGACTTGCCTGCCTAGGGACGTCACAGAAGGCAGTGCTGCAGGGCAGGTGGGGTCGTGGAGCACGGCCATGGTGCCGACCCTACAAGGGCCCAGCTGTGTGTACCCGAGGGTGGCCAGTGGTCCTAGCACTCTGCACTCTGCGGAAACTGGGCTGCATCCGGACGGAGCTGGTTGCAGTGCTGCTGGGGCGTCCCTAGTATGGACGCTACTATTTTCCAAGCTGGTGTTGAAACTGCCCTGAACTCAGGTGGGATTTTCTCTGCTGCTCCTGTGCTTGGGGGCTGGCGGCTGGTGGCTGGTGTCTCACCTGGGTCTTCATCAAGACCATCAGGCAGGATGTCTTTGGTGGCATGGTACTCCTGGAGGTGAAGACAAAGTCCAGTGGTATCTACAGGAACGAAGATAGTATCCTTGTTTGCCTTGGTGGTACAGCGCCACCCCGACAAGACAGCCCTGATCTTTGAGGGCACAGACACCCACTGGACCTTCCGCCATCTGGATGATTACTCCAACAGTGTGGCCAACTTCCTTCAGGCTGGGGGCCTGGCCCTCTTATGGAGAACCAGAATGAATTCGTGGGTCTGTGGCTGGGCATGGCCAAGCTGGGTGTGGAGGCAGTCCTTGTCAATACCAACCTTAGATGCAATGCCTTGTGCCACTGCCTTGACACCCTAAAGGCCCAGGCCCTAGATGGTCTCAGCTGTCTGCGAGATCCATGCCAGCCTGAACCCCCTGCTCAGCCTCTTCTGCTCTGGTTCCTGGGAGCCCAGCACAGTACCCACCAATACACAGCACCTGGACCTTCTGCTGGAAGATATCTCTAAGCACCTGCGGCGTCTCGGCACAAGGTGCACAAGCACTGGGCAGTAGCCTTCAGCAGTCCATCTGGAGCTTCTCTAGCTGTTTTCCATATCCACGTCTATGGGGCCACTAAGTGCAACTGTAGCCTGGGGAACTTCAATAGCAAGGTGGGGGCCTGTGGTTTCAACAGCCACATCCTGAACTTTGTGTACCCAACCTGGCTGGTACGCGTCAATGAGGACACCATGGGGCTGATCTGGGGACCCGATGGCATCTGTATTCCCTGTTGACCAGATTGTGGGCCACATCATCCAGCAAGACCCCCTGAGCCACTTTGATGGTTACCTCAACCAGGGTGCCAACAACAATATCGCTAATGTTTTCAAGAAAGGGGATCAAGCCTACCTCACTGGTGATGTGCTGGTGATGGATTAGCTGGGCTACCTGTACTTCCCAGACCTTACAGGGGACACATTCCCCTGGAAAAGGGAAAATGTGTCCGCCACCGAAGTGGAGAGCATACTCAGCTGTCTGCTGGCCATGGCTGATGTGGCAAATGTGGTGTTGAGGTGCCAGAAACTGAAGGCCAGATGGGAATGACTGCCATAGTGAGGCCCACAAATTGCTATGACCTGGAGCACTTTGCACAGGCTTTGGAGAAGGAGCTGCCTGTATATGCCTGCCCCGTGTTCTTATGTGTCCTGCCTGAGCTATACAAAACAGAGACCTTCAAGTTCCAAAAGACTGAGCTTCAGAAGGAGAGCTTTAACTCTGTTGTTGTGAAAGACCCAGTGTTCTACCTGGATGCTGGGAAGAATCGCTACGTCCCGCTGGATCAAGAGGCCTATACTCTTATCCAGGCAGCCCAAGAAGCAGTGATTCTCCCCACAGCCCTCTGACAACCAGCAGATGCTGGCTCCAGAGCCCCAGCTTCTGCCCCATGGAGTTCTGGACAATGCCAGACCAAAGCTAGCAGGGCCCGCACCTCCACCCCAAGGTGCTCAGCCCCTCCAAAACTGACTCACTGCTGCTGTCCCCTACCCCCAGGCTTTCTATGAAAGCCTCAAGTTCAAGTACTGTCTTCTCCAACCAGGCAGGGCCTCGGCCCCACACTGAGACTGATGCTGGGCAGGGGAGGCTTCAGTCTTCAGTTGATGTCTTCAGTTTGGCAGGGCAGGGAGTGGGGGAGGGGTCACTGGGCTCCCTCCAAAAGGAAGGAGTTTGTAAATGGGATCAAGGCAGAAGCCTCCAGACTCAGGAAGCCATGTGACCAGGGATGGTAGAGGCTGTAAATCAAGTGGACACCAAGGATAGGAGTCTGAGCTGCCAGAGTTTCATCTAGCCCTGCCTGCACCTCCAGGTGGGAAGGAAGAGGGCACGGTGTGGCCACCAGGCCTCACCTGCAAGTCAGTACAGAGCTCCTTGTTTCTCTTCAGTCGCCCTGCATCTTTGTCTCTGGGAGGAGTGTCTGCCTCTCAGATCTCTGTAGGTCTATAAGTCTCTGCTGCCTTCATATCAGTCCTGACCTGACTGGAGGGGAAGAAATGGGGGGAGGGTTCAGGGGCCAATAAACTCTGCCTTGATTCCTCTTTTAAAAAATCCTTTTTAGGCTGGGCGTGGTGGCGCACGCCTTTAATCCCAGCACTTGGGAGGCAGAGGCAGGTGGATCTCTGTGAGTTCAAGGCCAGCCTGGTCTACATAGTGAGTTCCAGGACAGCTGGGGCTACAGGGAGACCCTGTCTCAAAAAGACCAAAAAAAAAAAAATCCTTTTTATAGCCAGGCGTGGTGGCACACGCCTTTAATACCACCAGTACTCAGGAGGCAGAGGCAGGCGGATCTCTGTGAGTTCAAGGCCAGCCTGGTCTGTATAGTGAATTCCAGGACAGCTGGGGCTACAGGGAGACCCTGTCTCAAAAAGACCAAAAAAAAAAAAAAAAGCCTTTTTATGTATTTTATGTGTATGAGTGTTTGCCTGCATGTATGTAATTGTACCATGTGCATGCAATGCCCAGGGAAGCCAGAAGAGGAAGTCAAATCCCCTGGAACTAGCGATGGATGGTTGTTAGCTGCCATGTAGGTGCTGGGAATGGAACCAGGTCCTCTGCAGGAGCAGCCAGTGCTCTCAACCACTGAACCAGCTCTCTAGCCCTTAGTGTTTGAGTTTTCACTTAGAGCTATCTCTCCATGCATTCTAGAAGGAGGGCCCTTGTCTATGTTGAAGATTTTACTTAGTCCCAGCACTCAGGAGGCAGAGGCAGGCGGATCTCTGTGATTTCAAGGACATACTGGTCTACATAGCAAGTTCCAGGCCAGCTGGGGCTACAGGGAGACCCTGTCTCAAAAAAGACCAAAAACAAACAAACCCCGCCCCCCAAAACCCAGTGTGTTTTACTTGGCTCTAATTCTCCCTTGGACACTCCTCCAGTGGTCTATGGCCCACCCATGAAAAGAAATCAAAAAATTGTTCCCAAGCCACTCAGCCTGTTCCCAAGTCATCTGTCAAGTGGGGTAAACAACATGCCCACTGTGGGATACCACAGCCAAGACGCCATCAAGGGCCTGGTGATAGCCCAGAAATGCTGCTACTATGAGATCAACCATGTTTGGAGTTCACGGAGAAGGGTCCAGGCAGGGACTGGGCTGTCTGGACAGGTGTAGGTGATGGTCGATCTAGGGACCCTATGCCCTTGTGGATAGTGGCAGGGTCAGTGGGGCCCTTGGGAGGGGAAGAGGAGGCAGAAAGGGGTACTCTGCAAGCACTTCCAGAAACAGCTCAGTAGCTAGTAGTGTTGGAAACAAAGAACAAGATGGCAACCACAGCATGTCCTCACTCTAAGCTGATCAGAGTTCATATATTGTAATCCCTCCATTCACTCACCAACTCATCCATCCGTCCATCTATCCCTCCATCCATTCATCCATTTACTCCCCTATCCGTCCATCCACTCATCCACCCATCCATCCATCTAGCCATCCCTCCCTCCATTGACCCATCTGTCCATCCATCTACCCATCTACCCCACATCCACTCACCCACCCATTTGGCTTTGGCTCCACAGCAGAGGCGACTCTATCTTGTGGGTGTCCAGGCAGGCTGTCTGGAGAAGGCGACTG